TTTAAAAAGATATACTTAGAGATTATTTCTATAGATATTTTAACAAACACCATTTAGTAACTTTAGTTTTTAAATTAAAATAACTGGTTTTTTTCCAGAATTGAACTTATTTTCTTTTGTGGAACACAATCATATAGATCCATCAATTTGGCAAATACGTTTGTCAGTAGAAAGTTGCTATTGATTATGTAGTTCATTGGAATTTGTGGTGAATAATACATCAATGTCATTTAACATTGTCTCTCTTCTAGATTGAAGACTGGGATATAAGAAAATCCGCGACATGCAAATGGCTCCCGTATATAAACTACTTCATTCCGTATGTAATATCGTCAAGATATATTATTCGTAAGATTATTCATTCTGTCTTGGATGTGTTATATAAAAATAGTGATATGTCATGTCTGAATCTATTTTCTGTTATATTATGAGTGCCAGCATGATTTCTTTTAACCGCTCCGAAAAGATTTTACTTTTATACTACTTCTAGTGTTACTCACTTGTGGTAAAAATCTTTTTTTGAGTGATAAAATTGATTAAAATTTGGTGCACATCTAATAGAGAAATAGCAGCTACAGTTCTTCAGTATTCAAATTTTTAAGTTAACTGCTTACTTTATTTTTAGTTAATAATGTTTATAATAATTAAAATAAAAAGAATCAAATGATCATTAAAGTAACCAGTTAAACTCTGTGGTTCAAGGAAGACATTGTATTCTTAAATCCTTCCTTTGCAATTCATTTCCTAAAATAAAATTCAGACAAGTTTCCTGAAAATATTTAAAGTTAAATTGTTAAGAACAAATATTTTTATCATGCAGACGTCTAATAGTGAAAGGATACAAGCTAAAATGATGGTTATGAACTACTCAATCATTCTCCATTAACCTAACGAAATAAGTATATTAAAATTAAAAAAAGAAGCTACAATAATAACTTTAAAGTTAAAAATGAAGACACAAATTCAAAATAAAGCGGAAATAAGTTGCAAAACTTGTCGTCTTCGGGGACTCGCTTCGAAATAAATCTTACGTAATTCAATGAGCCACCAAACTAAGTTTCGTAAATTTGCGGCCGTCCCAACTAACTTGTGATACCCCGAATCACAATTTAATACTAAAAGGAGCGAAATAAAGACAATGAGGCCTGAGTTTCTCTTCAGATAGTTTCCTATAGAGAAAACTTCCAGTGAACTAAGTTTGCAAGTTAAATAGTGCCAACTTGTACAATTTTGCCGCAAGCGAGATGCCCATTGTGCTTTCGGTTGATAAAAAACAAAGTTTCATCCACAGTTATGTCCGTGTCGATTGTTAGTTTTTTTCACGATTCTGCAGTTTCATACAGTGTGGTTTTTAATGAAATTTTTTATTCATTTGAATAAAACTGTTCATTCACTTTACTTGTATGATGAGTCATTCCAATTCAAAGAACATTGTTTCGATTAGCAGTCAAATGAAGAAGAATTAGGTACGTTTCACTTCTTAATATAAAATAATAATAAATTTACTACGTATGTAATCCAACAAATATAATTTTAATTATATATGTATCCATACAAATTGTATAGAACTTTATTTGAAGATGGTCGTTGCTAAGTTTTTTTGTGGTTCCTATAATCAAATCAATATATAAACCCAGCGGTAGTATCATAAAAAATTAAGATTTAAAAGAACATGTAAATAAAACTATATGAATAAACATTATTTCTATTGTCTTAATTTATTTTCAATTAAAATTTTACCTTGATTAAAGATTAAAATAATTTCAGGACAGTTTAAATAAAACTTTAAATAATTACACAAAAGTTTTAATTATTAAGGCACAAAACTTAAAAGCTATCTAATCACTAAAAAGTGAAACTCGCAATTGGGCTGTTAAGTAAATTTGATCTTGAAAGGGGATCAAATTTACTTAATGGCTTAAGTATAACGATCAAAGAAGTAGACGGTAATGTCGATTACTTAAGAAATACAAAGTTTAACCTAAATCTTGAAACAAAAGCTGAATAGCCCATAAGAGCTCAGCTGAGTTAAGATAAGAATATTCTACTGTTATCTTAGCTGAGCCTACCAGAGACATTTCAAAGAGTACGCGATTTATCAAAAGGTTACATAGACGTTTACTGTCTCATAAAGGTCTATGTAAATTAATTTCACGGACCCTTTCGTTTGCATCTGAATAGGAGATATTCCACTTGACTCTAAAAGGATCGGAGCACTCACTTCTAAGACTGCTTATTATAAATACGCACAATTATAATCCCCAATTTAATTTGACTGAATAGGTCAAATAGCTAAAGAATGGGAAACAATCCTATTGACAAGATTTCGAGTTCGAATAACTTGGCATTGTTGGTGAAAATTTCTTTAAATTTTAATGGAATGCTCTATTATTTCTAAGCAGGAAATTGATAAATGATTTAAGTTTCAAAGTGTTAATCGACTCACTTTAAAAACATTTATGTAAAATTGTACAAAAGTAATATAAATATTTTTTTTTTTTTCATTAAAGGCAAGACGCTGCAACGACAGCACTATACTTACCCTGAAGAAGACATTTGGATAAATTTGAAACATTTGTCGGAAATAACAAACATAGTAAGTTCATAAAATTTCTATTACACACTGATATATTACATACATATATATGGCTGTGTTTCGGTTTGAAGTATGTGATATGACAGTGAATTTACAAGCTACAAAGGAATGACAACTTAGTCCTCAGGAATGACAACATGAGGGGTATCATGGGAAAAACAGTTAACTCGTACTCTATTATGTCCATGGTACTGCTGATGTCTAAAGACGTATATATATATATATATATATATATATATATATACATACATACATATCTGTCACGCCTGTCTCCCATTAGGGTAGGCAGAAACAATGGAACGCCAAATGCTTCGATTCAAACAAACCTCTTTCGCTTCTTCCACATTCATCAATCTTGTCATACACGCTCGTCGGTTACGGGTACTTTTAATTTGGCCCTTCTTCAGCACGTCGCCTATTTGGTCGACATACGTCCGTCTAGGGCGGCCCCTACCGACATCTCCATTCATTCTTGCTCGATAAATCTCTTTCGTAATTCTTCTTTCATCCATCCTCTCCAAATGACCAAACCAACGCAACATTCCTTTTTCGATTTTGGTCACTACATCGACTTTCAGTCCACACACATATATATATATATATATATATATATATATATATATATATATATATATATATATATATATATATATATATATGTGTGTATATATGTATATATATACAATGATGATGAAAATAAAATATGTAGAAACATAATCAAGATAAGTAATAAGAAAGAACATCGTAATTTTTTTAATCGGAAAAACATATTTCAAGTGAATAAATGCAAATTAAATACCATAAAGAATTTCAAGACACAGAAAATAAAACGAGAAAGGGTAAAAGGAGAAATTAAAAACAAATTAAGATGCCGAACAAACGAAATTAATAGGGCGATGGGCAAAAATATACATATAAAAGGGAAAAATTGAGGCTTGGACGAGGGCCGGTAAGACGGGCAATAAGATTTTTAATTTTATTAAAAGAAAATATTTTTATGAATGAAAACAATAGGTAGTTGTTTACGGGGAGAAGTCTTATAATTTCGTCTAAGCTTCGACATTTTTTTTTATTAATTCATAGACAAAGTTTACTGATAATAATGCTTACTAATATAATATGTTTCTCTTCTTTCCCGTGGGCGACTAAGGGAGGGCGAGGGATAGGCAGTAGCGTCTAAGCCTAAAGCCTAACTGCGGTTGCCAACCCGCCTGCCAGGGGGGAAAGGGATTGTTAGCAATGAGGCTGATTGCTAGCAATATGCCCTATTCGGTCGACCTCTACGTGGTTCCTCTTGGAAACAATTCTTGTTGAATTCGTCACGATGGGCTAACTGACCTATTTTATCTTCACCTATCATCCTTCACTGGAGCCCCACCGGTGTCTACCGAAACCGCTAGTGGGGTTGCCATTCCATTGTCACCCATTAAAAAAAACCCGCCTGCCAAGAGTGGCAACTACTGGGAAAACACCCCATTAATTATGTTCAGCAGTGGACAGTAAAGGCTGATGTGATGATTATAGTTTCTACACAATGACTGAATACACGAATAAAATATGATATCGATAAAGAAAATCTTTGTTGTTGTAAAATAAAAATATAATTAATATTGAATTTAAGTAAAAGCTAAAAAAAAAATATCTGAACAATCTTCAACAATGTGTATGTTGAACAAGTTTCGTTATTACGCACTTCCGAAGTTAGCAACCGTTTGTTTGTACAGTATGCACTATAATTTTCGTATGCATAAATGATTTATTGTTTTAAATTATTGATCCAAAATCGTGGGATCGCCGATGTATCTTGGATCGACCGTTCAAAAGTGACCTTACCAGTATCTTTTCAACCAATTTTAAACGTCGAACACTTGTTATTTATAAATAAAACAGTGTACTTTGTAATTGCTGTTATTACAAGGATAATGGTACCGTTTTTAACTTGTGAATCTGATGGTAGTCTGCTGGATATACGAGTAATTTATTGCTTTTTAATGTACCTTAATGTACTATCATTTTAACTGCAATTCATGCTATTTATCAGTAATTATTTTCTATGCTACTTTTATTTATATTTATACTATATTATCCTAGCTAGACGATCTACAAACATCCATTCAGAGGGGGAAAGGGATGATTAGTAATGAGGTTTAACAGGCTCATTGCTAACAATATGGTAGTACCTAGGAAAAAAATTATTGAATAAAAATTATTTCTTTTTTTTTGATTTGCTAATAAATAGTGTGAAGTGTTAAAATATTTCAATTATTTCATTAATCACAAAATTTTCGTCGTGAATTTATTACATAAATATTTTAAAATACAATACTGGCCTACCTCGAGAGATAAATAAAAATAAAAGTAATATTCATATATTTGAAAAAAAAAAAAAAACAGTGAAACATACCTCTTGCTCCTGAACTGACTTGGCACTGATATTGGGCGTCGTCTTCTAAAGTAACGTCCCTGATGTCCAATGAATAATCACCTGAAACAACAAATAAACATGTTAATTATTACAAATTAACGACTTTTCATTCTATATTATATCAAATAGCCATAACCCGCGAGTTTGGCTGCGTGAATCATTACATAAGATATCCTATGTAGTAAGTTAGGATGTAACTTACTCCACGTATCAAATTTCATTCAAATTTATTCAATAGTTTTTTATACAACTTAGAATGGCAAACTAGCTGACAGCCCACCTGATAGAAAGTGGTAACCGTCGCCTATAGACATGAGCAGTACCATAGACATAACAGAATATACTGTTTCGCCCACGATACCCCCCATGCGTTGCCATTCCTGGGGACTCAGGTATTATTCCTCTGTACCCTGTAAATTCACGCCATATCCCATCCTTGAAACCGAAACACAGCCATGCAAACACAACTGCTTCATGGTTGAAACACGAATGGGACAGAGGTACCCAAGCATACGACTCTTGTATAAAGTCTCCCTGTGGTAAGTATTTACTGTGTCTGACTTACGCCATCTACTTTTCTCTCTGTACTTATCTACTATTTATGCCAAGTTGTCTGTAAGAGATTGTTTTTAGTGATAATGCCGCCTTTTGTATATGCATATTTTGTATAAATACTCTTTGTATACATCTCTATTGTGTACAATAAAGAGTTTATTATTATTATTAAATCAATGGTACTGTTCATGACTATAGGCGACGGTTACCAGTTTCTATCAGGTGAGTTGTTAACCTATTTGATATTCTAAATTGTATAAAAAAAAATTATAGAATCATTTGTCCGGACTGAATTTTATCACACAGCTAAAACTATTAAATGTAGAAAATTGAAATTTAGAACTTAAGTTACGAACAACTTTATAAAATATAGCTTAAACATCCGCTAAAAAGAAATTTTGAAAACTTTAACTTTAAATGGAAACACGATGCCACGCGTGCAAAGTCACGGACAACAGCTAGTCTACGTCTATAATAATTTTTTAACTAACTATCGAATTACAAAGCGTCAAGCGAGCTTACTTCAAGGATAATAAAACAAGAATTATTAGTGAAAATAAAAAAAGTTGCTATCAGCACAGTTCATAAAAAAGTCAGGTCTGAAGATAATGATGGCATTAATTAGATTAACAGACATTCGGATCCAAAGACGTGCCGTGGCAAATGTAATTAACTTCTCGGAATATGGACTTTATTAAAATATATCTCGTAGCACCCTTGCAGACTCGACGATATCCTGAAAAGCGGGTAATCTAAATAAGTGGCCATTAAAAAGGTCTTGGCTGTGCACTTATAAATACTAGAGTTAGCTAATTTTTGTTAGTACATTTTTTATGGCTGTATTATTCTAATTTTATGTCGCGTTTTTATAGCGTAACACACAAATAAGCAAAGTCACTTTTACATTTATAATATTATTCATTAATATTATTATTTGTAAGAATTCTATCGTAAGTCTTTTCAAGAATTATGTACTATTTTTTTTAATGGATGATAATGGAATGGTAACCCCCACCGGCGCTATCGGTATACACCGGCGGGGCACCAGTGAAGAATGATAGGTAAGGATGAAGTAGGTCAGTTAGCCCATCGTGACGAATTCAACAAGATTTGTTCACGATGGTTTCCAGGAGGAACCACGTGGACGTCCTAATAAGGTATATTGCTAGCAATGGAGCTGTCAAACTCAACTGCTAACAATCCTTTTCCCCCTAATTATGTACTATTTATTTTACAGAAATCAAATGCTGGACCACCTTATAGGATATGACAATTTTTAAAGAACATACTAGAAGGAAAAATAGAGATCAAAAAGAAAGGAAAAGACCTAAACGACATCATAGGAAAGGTCAAGTGCTATGTTGTATAGGAAAGTCAAATATATGACCTCTAATAGAGCTAGTTAGAGGAGAATAAATATATTAATTGCCCCGACAAGAGCAAACGTTACAAGTAAAAATAACTTTTCGACATATTATCTTCAAAACGACCATTAAATGTTCACTGCTGAACTTAGGCCTCCCGCATAAGAGGGGGGTTCTGCCAGTTACCACGCTTGGCAGGTGGATTGACAACCGCAATTGGGCTTTGGTACTACTGCCCATTTTTCAACCACTAAATTCCCGTAGTCATCTTTTATGACACCTACGGAAAGGGAATGGGTAACCCATTCTATGCCTTAACCACACGGCAATTAATTGGTGAATTTACTGGGTGCAGAGGAATAATACCTGAGTCCTCAGGAATGGCAACACATGGGGGGTATCGTGGGCGAAACAGTATACTCTGTTATGTACATGCTACTGCTCATGTCTATAGGCGACGGTTATCACTTTCCATCAGGTGGACCCTCAGCTTGTTTACCATTCTAAATTGTACAAATTGTCCTGTTTTGTTTTTATTTAAAAAAAGGTGTAATATAGTCAGTGAATTATGTATAAGTTATCGAAATACGTATATTGTTATAATGGCACACTTAACATATGAGAATCTATACTAATATTGTATGTATGTATGTAAAGGTGAAGTGTTTGTTTGAACGTGCTAATTTCAACTAATTATTATATATAACTATATAATTTAAAATTGTTCAATTTGAACTAGTAGTTCAAATTGAAAAATTGTTTTAGTGTTGGATATTAAGGAAGGTTCTATAACCTTCCTTAGTATCCAATTCCATATTCTATAACCTTTCTTACTATCCAATTCCATATTCCGTAGTCTATACTACATACGAGTAATATCACGTTATGATCAAAAAGAGCGAATCGTCAATAAAAATATTCCAAAATAGAGGAAATGAATCCTATTAAGAGCTTTCGTTGCAGACGAAGTTAATATACCTACCGATCTTTTCCCAAGAGACTACAGCATGGGGTTCTTCAAAAGGGGGGTAAAGAGGTTTCTTCAGGGTCGGCAACGCGCGACCTCGATACCTCTGGTATTGCAGGTGTTCATAGGCTACGGTAACTATTTACCATCAGGTGGGCCGTATGCTTGTTTGCCACCTCAGTAGTATAAAATAAAAAATTATGTAATATAATTTATTTAAACCTCAAACACAAAATTTCAAACAGAATTTCACACTTATTGTTCCTAATAATAAACTATTAACATACCTTCTTCATCGCTCCCAATCATCTTGTATCGATCGTATCCACTGAGATCTCGATGTAGACCGAGTCCAAAATCGTCCTTTGTCCACTGCAGTTGACCAGCCTTGTTCTCCACTCGGCAAGGGAGCGTAACTCTTGAGCCCTCCACCGCCGTCTGGTGAAGAATTGTTTTTTTATATCACAGTAAATCATATTTTAACATAGTCATTAGTCTGGATGTTTTCTATATATTGTGGCATTGGAATTATATATATATATATATATATATATATATATATATATATATATATATATATATATATATATATATATATATAATACTAATGTTCAAACAAAATTTGTTTGTTTCACTTCTGTTCTGTTCTGTTATGCCCACGGTACATTGTTCTAGTTTATAAACGACAGGTAACTTCCATCAGATGGGCCATCAGCTTGCTTGTCATTCTAAGTTGCATAAAAATATATACTGATATCGTCTAATTACAATTTCATTTTTTTTAAGGATGATATAAGGTGCACCAATGAGATATGATACGTGAGAATGAAGAGGTAGGTTAGTTAGCCCATCGTGATGAATATACTAGGGATTCAGCACCATGGTTTCCAGGGAGGACCACAGGAGAGGTCGATCTGTTAGGGTATATTGTTAGAAATGGGGCTGGTTGCATTACTAACGATCCCTTAAGTTAAGAATGCATGGCAGGTACTAACCTGCCATGCATTATTAACCTTAAGAATTGTTTGGATTAAGCAAAGTTTGTTTTACGTGTAATAGACAACTGATGGAAATCCTTGCTAATTTTTTCTAATATTTTAAATGTGAAGGTGAGTTTATTTATTTGTTATCTGCTCTTCAGCCTTACCGGCTTAAACAATCACTATGAATTTTAGTATATACATACTATGTAGAATGGAAATGAATATAGGTTACTTTTTATTCCGGTCAGTAACATATCCTGGTCATGTGGATGAATTCGCTGATAAAAGTTAGAAAAATTTTGCCTCACGAAAAAAACAATTCAATTGTTATACAAAACCAGTTATTGTGATCTAAAAATTTAAATCTGAACCTTTGAATTGAATAAAAATTTCTATTGGACCATCATAGAAATTTTATCGAAATCGGTTCAAACTGAATATGAATCATAGAATATGAATGAGAAAAAAATATATAAATATCTAAAAGTATATCATTTTAGATCAAAAGTTTTGCCAAATCAGTTTATAACTGACGGAATTATGAGACAATAAACATAAAAACACAACAGAAATGGGAACCTCCTGTTCTCTGAAGTCGGTTGTAAAACAACATACGAGTTATGAATGAATGAATGAATATGTATACTATATTTGCATTATACAATATAGGGAATAGGCAAGACAATAAATGTAATGATACAGTCGTATAAGTACAATATGTCGGTCTTATTGCTGACAGCAATCTTTCCATAACACGTTACAACAAAGTTATGATGTGATACTAATATCGAATACAGTTCCAAAATTGCCAAGATAACAATCAGCTTGTGTTAGCAACTTGCGCTATCTGACAATCAATTGGGCTCAACTAAAGTTTCCATAATACTAACTATAATAGTTGATAACTTTAAATGAAGGATTTTACGCGTGGCGTAGTCGTGTTGCAAACATTCTAACATTGTAGGTGGTTCATGGAATTTGATATAACATTAATCTTGACAACTAAATATATCGTTCCTAATTAAAGCATGGTATTTCCATCTCTTTATTAATATAATAAGTGTATTTTGAAGCGACATCAAATAAGGAGATAATTCTCCATTGCGTTGTATTTATTTATGTTTGTTACCTCATGACTACGTCGTTAATAAGCGAACATACCAGAGGGGGACTTTGTACAAAAGTCATTTGCTTGGCCACCTCTGTCCCATTCGTGTTTCTACTATGAAGCAGTCGTCTTTGCATGGTTGTGTTTCGGTTTAATAGTGGGATATGGCAGTGAATTTGCAGGGTATAGAGGAATAACACCTAAGTCTTCAGGAATGGCAACGCATGGGGGTATCATGGGCGAAATAGCATTATCTGTTATATCCATGGTACTGCTTATGTCGACATCGACGACGTCATAGACGACAAGTTTCCGTCAGGTGGGCCGTCGACTTGTTTGCCATTCAAAAAATTTGGATTGTTCTTTTTTTTCTAAAAGGTTATACTTTCAGATTCGTTTCAGAGAATTTTCATCAAATTCGGTTTCGTAATTTAGTTTTCAAATTAAAATAACTAGTTTTGCTACGATTGAACATAATTTTTGTGTGTGTTCTAAATTCCATCACAAATTATACACTCAGTAACTAAATTATGTCTTCTTTTCATTTAAGAGTTTCCTCTTGTCGGTGCAACTAATTCATGCATCTTCCTCTAGCCAGCTCTATCCCAGGCCATATCCTTTATCTCCCTATACGACATGATGCCTAGTGTTTCCTTTATCTGTCCCATGTAACTTTAGTATGTATTGTTTTTATAATTGAAAAATAATACTCACACATTAATATCTAGGTTATACTTAATATCATTTTTTATTAATTGTATGTAGTAGCTTTTAATTAAGAGGAATAATTAAGAGGAAGAGGAAGACCGAGGATTAACTACATGGGACAGATAACGGAAACACTAGGCGTCATGTCGTATAGCGAGATAAAGGATATGGCCTGGGATAGAGCTGGCTAGAGGAAGATGCATGAATTAGTTGCACCGACAAGAGGAAACTCTTAAATGAAAAGAGAGCTTTTAATGTGATTACTGTTATTATATACATGTATATATATCTAATCATTAGGTAGACGAAAACTTTCTTCAATAAATAAATAAAAGTGTTAATTAATTAATGAGCGAGTGAATTAATGAATGTATCCTTAATTAATGTAATAACAACTTCGGACAAGGGTGACAAAATGCACCAATAAACGAGATGTATTGTAGACATATCACATGGACAATTTAAAACACGGCATGTAAAATATATTTTACTTGTCATCAAATAGTTTTTTGCTCCACAAAAAATAACTGCAGCTTTAATCACACAATATTAATATAATTTTAACACAGTTCTACAGAAAACACCAACTTTAAAGTCTAAACTACATACCCAATTTTGATTTTTTTTTATGGGACCAATCTATAAGGATATCCTTTTAGATAAAAAAATAATTTTTCAAATAGGTTTAAAATTAACAAAGTTTTAGGGTAACAAACATTCAAAAATATAACCTAATTGAGAAAATACTTGAAGTCAGTTGAGAATGGTCTGTTATAAGTCCATTAGTAAAAGAACCAGCTTCAATGCTAATTCAAAGCTCTTTAGCACGATATTTTAATTTACATTAAAGATTTTACGGAATTAGTTGAGATTACTAGCAGATTTTAATTAGATTTTTAAAGTTACACGACTCTAAGTGAAAATCATATAAACTTTTTGATCAATCAAGTTGTTGCCTGTATGTCCAATTATTATTATTGCTATTTCTCTCTAAAACAGCAGATTACCGAGTCATTATATTATTTTAGGCGTTAACTGACCACGGCTGGATATAAGCCTTCCCTATAAGGGGATTTTTGCCAATAATTGCCATGCAGGTACCGAGCCGTATTTAATTATAATTATCCCATGTTCAGAGGTCATAAAGTTTTGCTAAATTATTAAAATTAAAAAGAAAATTAGGAATATCAAGGACACAATTGAAAGAAAAAAAAACATAAAATTGTTTTTTTTTCAAGTTACTTATAAAAGCAGCTAAATTCAGCTGTGGTTTTTGGGAACGGTATTTACAACTAGTTCCATAATATCTATTTTAATAGTCTTGATTAAAATCAGTTAATTATGTAGATAAAATCTAAGTCGTTTAACCGTGAAAATATTACAAGGCAGACAGATAGCTCCGGAGATGACATTTTCGTTTTTTCTTTTCTTATAAATTGATATAAGAACAGCCTTTGACACTCGGTTCTATTTGTTCAATTATTTTTATGGTTTTATGCAACTTAGAATGCCAAACAAGCTGACGGTCCACCTGATGGAAAGAGGTAACCGTTGCCTATAACACAGATAATATAATACTATCCTGGCGTGGCGTGGATGGCGTAAATTTACTAGGTACGGAGGAATAACATCTGAGTCCTCAGGAATGGCAACGCATGGGGGGTATCATGGGCGAAACAGTATACTCTGTTATGTCCATGGTACTGCTCATGTCTACAGGCGACTGTTACCACTTTCCATCAGGTGGGCCGTCAGCTTGTTTGCCATTCTAAGTTGTATAAAAAAAACTATAGACATGAACAGTACCAATGCCTTAATGTGTCACCCATGATATCATTCGTGCTTTGCCATTGCTGAGGACTAAGCCGTTATACCTTTGTATCCTGTAATTTCATCATGTCCCGCCTTTCAGACAGAAACAGAATCATGCAAACACAATTATTTCACGGTGAAAACACGATTGTTTCAGAAGTACCCAAGGAAATTACTTTTGTACAATACAATACTGTACCCTCAATATAATAATAAAAATTGTTTATATAAGCGATTATTTAATATAATTTCTTTTATAAACAATATATTGATCAATTTCGCGGTGAATTGCTCAATTGGGTCAACATTGAACACCAATCTTATTAAATAAATAAATGCAAAAGTTTGTTGCGAAGGATAAATGTAAATGCTATATAGTATTAAGTCCGCCTTTTATACTAGACATTTTCTGTAATGTGGTTAATAAAGAATAAATAAATAAAATAAATAAATGGATGGATGTTTGTTACTTTTTCACGCAAAAACTACTGAACGGATTTGAATGAAATTTGGTACACGAATAGTTTATATCTTAACACATAGAATATCTTATGTAGTAATCCACACGGGCAAAGCCGCGGATAAAAGCTAGTGGATAATGAAAATTAAAAAATACAATGTCTTACCTGATCTTGAGGCTCCATTGCAAATTTCTGCTCAACATATCCACTACAAACACCAAACACTTGAAATAACACTAAAACAAAACTAAGCCACAACCCAATAGTCCGTAATAATAAGAACAAAGGCTTCACACACCTACTGGTAACTCTCAATCTATTTAAATTCGACATTATTCCAATGTATCCAACTACAATATAGTTCCGTCCAACATAAGGGAAGTAATGTAATATATCCGGAATTCTATTTTTAAATTACATTTTAAACGGAAGTTCAGCTTCCCCCTGCGGTGCGTACGAGCGTTGTTTGTTCTATTTTTAAAACATTTTTAGGCGCCATTTTTTTATTTTTAGAACATTTTTAAATATGATTAATTGGAGGTGCTGGCTGATTTACACTTTTTCACCGGTGACGGTGGTTCATATCTGAAACAAAAGAAGGGTTGTATTAGTGATCTATTAATAGGAGACATGATACTCATACAAGCTTTAGTAGCAAAGTGTCGACTTATATGAGGTAGAAAATTTATCGAGTGATAACCTTACGCAGACAAATGCAGAGTAAAATTATTTTTTACTAAATTTTAATATTAAATATGCATATATTGTGCCAGATGGAATAATAGAGTGATAACCTCAGACATGTTGCAAGGAATCAGTGAATGCAGATGACTCGGAAGATATTTAAGGTCTATAATCATCAGAAAAGTAATAATTACAATTTACAAAAAATAGTAGCACAAGTCAGAAGTAAATTTCACAGATAGAGTTTTGAATTTCAAGTCCAATACTAAATAAATTTGTCAAAATTTTTATATATAATGAATTAAATTACAATTTTATTTAAAAAAAAAATACTCAATTTATCTCAATATCATCTAATATTTAAAAAAAAAATTAAGATTATGAAAAATCATATAATCTAAATAAGCTAAGTGTCAAACAAAGGTACGAGTATATTCATTTAGGAGTTAAATTATTACAGGCTTTTTCGTTTAAAAAAGGCTCAAACTAATATCATACATTTTAGGTTGAGATTTAAAAAAAAAACTTTGAATGGTTTTCTACGTGCACCGTAAACTAACCGACAACAAAAGTTTTGCACCAAGATCAACATTAAACACAGTACCCATTTTTCCACAACAAGAGTTTAATGCAGAAAACTTGTACACTAAAGTATTATTTATAAACTTTCTTAAAGCTAGAAAAGTTTGATTCAAATTATGCTTGTAAGAAAATATGCAGTTGGTTTTCAAATTAATTACTATAAGATTGTTGATCAGTATTAAAGCGATAGCTTTGCGATGAGGTAATATAAAATTTGACAAGCTATCATGCTTAAAAATTTGATTAATAATATTAACGGTGTCTTATACATATATTTTTTTTTATTACAGCATGACATGTGACCACACCATCCTGAACGAATATAGAGGCAACATGTTCCATGAATACTATTATTATAGAATATTAGTATAATTAGATTCGTACATATAAAAAAAATGTTTTCGAGTGATGACCCTGCGCAGGAAAACGATTCTCACGAGATGGAGATTTTTTGGAAGATTCCATAGTTTTAATTTTAAAATATAATTATAAAACAATCTCAAATGAAAGTTTAATGAAACAGATATACAATACAAAAGTGGATTGATATAAGTATCGTGGGAGATAAAACTATTGTTCTATTTGTAAGGAAATTCTCTGGTATGTCAGCGACCATTCATGAGTTATAAAAATAGACGAAGCAACAGATGTATGTTAGTAAAAAGGCCTTTGACGACTTGGCATAAAGATAGATACAGGTTTAATACAGTGAATTGTATGAACGTAGCGATACAAATAATATAGCTAACACTGGATTACAAGTTTACCTAAGTATTTCTGGTTAATGAAATATAAACTTCACGAGAAAATACACGGATATTCTAGGCGTTTTAATGTTTCGTTCTTTCAGAGCTGTTACAGGGTTTTTCTTTGAAACTCTCACCCGGCACTTGGCAAGGAAGTCGGCGTTTCGCGTTTTTTATTCTTTATTTTAAAAAAAAAGTTTGCTCATTAAGATAAACGGGATGGATTCGTCTGGAAACATACTTTTTTGGCGCTTCCCGTAGTTATGAATTGTGAGGGAAATATTCTTGGATTTTATTCAAGTTTTAAAACGTATCTAATTACTAGCTTTTACCTGCAACTTCGTCCACATCCGGAATATATTTACTGACTGGAATAAAAGTAGCTTGTACCTTCTTCTGTCTCATATAGTACGTCTATACTAAATTTTCTCGAAAAAATTGATTGAGGCGCTAACAAATAAAAAAAAACCACGTTCGTCTTTATATATAATATTAGTAAGAATTCGTCAAAGTTATATTCATATTTGTGTTTTTTTTGCCATGTAATATATTGTAGAAATAAACCTTTGAAATAACCTTGAATGGCGAATCCAGTCAAGTATTTAATATAAAAAAGAAATATAGAAGAGCATTGATGTTTTTCTTACAAGATCACTTACAACTAAAGATAATCTTTTCCCAGCAGTGGGAATTTTTACAGTCCACACAAAACTATTTAAATTATTTTAAAATTACTCTATTGACTGACGTGTTTCGCAATTATAGAAGGAACGCACGTGAAAACATGCAGTCCACACACACCCAGTGTCATTAAATAGTTGAAGCAGTTATCATCAACGGAATATAATTATACAACCAGTGGCCACCTTGTGCCCACTCGACATTTTAAACCTTATGTCTATAGCGATAAGATCGAAGAACATCCACTCATTTCACATTCCCATAACACAAAACTGTATTTTTTATTGCCTATTATTGATAATCCTCTTCTATTAGTTAAATGATAGGGTAATTATTATATGTTGGTTAACTTTTAAATGTAACAGGGATTAGTTTAATTGAACTGAGTTTTTTTTTTTTTTAATATTCTGTTTAAGTATTAGGGTTATTAGATATATGTAAATTGAATGCATTATTTAAGTGATAAAGTTTTATTTTATGAATCAAATTTGATAAGAAGTTCCGAGAATGATAGTATTTTTTGTGTTGTATTCTCAACGGATTTTGTTCTTTTTTTTTGTAATAAGTAAAATAAAAAATATTTAAATAAACTTGATTATAAGCATTTTTGCCGTGTAGTTCCGGCATAGAGTGGGCTACCACTTTCTTTCTCGAGAGTGACGTAAGAGGTGACTAAAGAAACTTAGTGGTCGAGGAATGGGTAGTAGCGTCCCTCTTAAAACATCTTTAAAGCCTACCTGCGGTTGCCAATCTACATGTAAAGCGTAGCAACTACTGGCAAAACTCCCTAAGGGGGAGATTTATGTTCAACAATAGATAGTTAAAGATAAATATGATGATGATGATGATGATGAGCCTTCTTCAAATCATATAGTACGTGTAACATACAATAAAAAGGTAAAAACAAACCCACCTCCATATCTATATTTATAATACATCTGTAGAGAGGGTCAATTCTGTACATGAAATATATTTCCAAAATAACTATCAGGGGATGATTAGTGATCGATACTGATGCCAAAAATGTAATCAGTAAAATTTTTGTCTGTCTGTCTGTTCGTTATACACTCCTCGCAAAAATTAAGGGAACATAAAAATTTTTGAAATTTTTGGGTGATTTTCAACAGGCTGTATTTCAGTGAAAAATAATCGTACAGGAAATTTAAAAAAAGGGTTTTGAAGCTTGAAAACTCTAGTTTTCAGATTTTTTGGTGAAAAAATTTTTTGAGCTCCGGTTTCTATGGAATTCTTAAACAAAGCTGAAAATAATTTTTTTCTAAATTTTCTAGGTTTCGTTTTTCACTCTATGGGCATGGAAAAATTTTTTCGAGCTACTCCATTGTATAGGTCTCTTAGCGTGTTTATTCAGCTTCAAAAATCGCTTTGGATGGCTCAATTACGACCATTTGTCTCCGAGATATCGAACTTTGAATGGAAAAGCATCCTTTTTCATTCAACTGCTAATATCTCTGGAACTACTGGTCGCACAGCAAGCGGGCGCCGAGTTTCTTTATCTGCATAAAATTTCCAATTAAGCACAGTCAAGAGTTAGTGAAGAAAAATTTTTTTTCCACCTCTAACATTGAATTGAAAAAAGTGGAAAAAGTGCCTTTTTCTCCTTTTTTGGTTACTTGGCTGTATCTTCGCTAATATGGGCGGGAAAGCTAAGGTTTGAGGAAAAATTTACAGTCTATTATTCCTTAAAGAACCCCCTAAATCCCTGGAGCGATCGGTTCAACGGTTTTTCCCGGTACAGAGGAATAACACCAGAGTCCTCAGGAATGGCAACGCATGGGGGGTATCATGGGCGAAACAGTAGACTCTGTTATGTCCATAGCACTACTCATGTCTATACGCGACGGTTACCACTTTCCATCAGGTGGGCCGTCAGCTTGTTTGCAATTCTAAGTTGTGTAAAAAAATAATAACTAAAAATCTTAGTTATATTATTATTCATTTATTTAGACATTTTTCGTTATATATCTACTAATCTAAACAGTTCTAAAAAAATCAATTACACGAAATTGTTTTTTTATCTTCTCACGAAATTCATAATGCCATATGGCTTTCTATGGCTAATCTACACAAGGGCTCTCAACATTTTAATATAATCAGAGTCATTTAATTTTATTACTTCAAAAATGATGTTAATAATTATCTGTGTAGCGATAAAATAAATTTATATCCATGCGTTCGAACTAGAACATTGACTTTATTGGAAACATGTGAGTGAATGTGGTTTAACAACGTTGTTATAAAAAACATAATGCAGAGACCAAAAGATGGCATTAAGAATAAAACGCATTTGTTTGTATTGATTGCTAAATATCTAGAAATATAAAAAAAATAGTAGCAACCCGTCCGGGCTTCGCATGGATTCTTTATAGGAAATATAAAATAGCCTATGTGTTCAAAATTAGCCTTTTTTATAATACAAATACTGACAATTGTAGTTTTTTATAAAAAAGAAAATCGATAAACATTTGAAATAGAACAATCAAATATAACAATCAATAGAACAATCAATAGAAAATCAAATCAACAGACGGAATTTTCACTTACAATTAATATAATTGATAAATAATGTATGTAACAAGAACCAGCTTTCTTTTTAGGTTGGTTGTCTAGCAACCAATTTTACCGAATTGCTTTTTGAGTTAAATCAAAATGTTTTATATTTTGTTACTATAATATGTATTTAGTTCCCATAAATTTTTATATTTTTATATATATATATATATATATATATATATATATATATATATATATATATATATATATTATTGTAATATACTTTTATCTGATTCCCAAAACTGTATTTAATGTTTTTTCTGGACGCGGGTCGCTCCCCATAATGGAAGAATATTGCTCTAATATTGTCTTATGGATCAA